CGGTCCTCCTGCCGAGCCTTGCAAAAGAGAAGACACCTATGATCAAACAGAGAAGGGAAGAGTGCTGTCTGGCCCCAGCCCACTCTGCATGTGCCAAAGAACTACCTTTTTGAGCAGAGAAGTCCTTGGCTCTGAGCCAGCCCCGCAGTAGACAAGTCAACTGGCAACATTCCATATTCACCTCAAACATTCCTGACGAGACAATCAGAAAAGAAAGCCAGTCCATCATGGGCTGAGCACACACCTGTCACATGGGCACACACCTGAACCTCTCCTTTTGAACCGCTCTGCACCCCTGCCCACTGCCCCAGAGACACCTCTCCACATTCCCTACCCCCCATCCAGGCCCCCCTCAGCCCTTATCTTCAGCCCAAACACATCTCCTTCTCTGCTGCCCCCCAGCTCCCGACAGCCCACTTCGGCCCTCCCAAACCACTGCAGTTGCCTCCCTGTTTTTCCTTTGGCTCCCACCTCCCTTCTCCGCACAATAACCATAAAATGCTCTCCCCTGTTCACACCTTCAGTGACACCCACGGCATTTAGAACAAGCCCTTCTCTCCATGGTGCACAAGCCTGACATCCCAGGTCCCCACCCCAACTCCCTCCCTCATCTCAGGCCATCAGTGGGCTCTACCCACACCCACATAGCCTCCTTTCCGGGCTGGAGACTTTGCACTGGCTTTTCCCTCTGCCTTAAGTGTTCTTCCTCTGGCTCTGTGGAAGGCCACTTCCTTGCCGTTCTTCAGGTCAGAGCCCCCATGTTGCTTCTCAAAGGGGCTGTGACTGACCACCCTATCCCTGGACCACCTGTTCTACCATGTCACCTCCAGTCTTATCACAGACTGGAATCCCATGAACACATGTTTCTTATTCACTGTGTGTCTGTAAGCTACCATGCAGGTTTCTCTAGGATAGGGGTCCTCAAACTTTTTAAACAGGGGGCCAGTTCACTGTCCCTCAGACTGTTGGAAGGCCGGACTGCAGGACTTGGGACAAGTCGGCTGCTAAGCAGGACAGGCAGCGGCGGCAAAAACACCCGGCGGGCTGGATAAATGTCCTAGGCGGGCTGCAGTTTGAGGACACCTGCTCTAGGATGCAGTGTTCATTGCTGTAACTAGAATCTAAGACTAGACCCGGCCCTAGTACTTGCTCGATAAATTATTGGTATAAACACACATTTACTCACTCGACCAACAAGCATTCTATCTTCCACCATGTGGCCCAAGGCCTTATACTCAGTAGGTAAAGACACATAAAGCCTGTTCTCTACTCCCTTAAGAAGTTGATATCTTTGGTGTGAAAGTGCTGTGATATATGCCTGAATGCCATATGGCTGATATACATGGATGTTCAGCCCAGGCAGATGTCACTTCAAATTGAGATCATTTGGAAAGACATGAAATAGAAGCTAGAATGTGAGTTGAGTTTTGAAGAATGGGTGAGATTTGGAATGGACAGAGATGAGGGATGGGAGAAGAAGCTTCACAGAAAGCAAAAAAAAAAAAAAGAAAGCAGCAGCAAAGTAGAATAGTGAGGACAAGTATAAGGCAAGCTGCGGGGCAGACGTGAGAAGTCAGATGGGCTGGGAGGTCCACTTAGGGCAAAGCAGAACGGAATCAGAGTGGGGTTGTAAGTACCCCAAGACCAGGTACATCCACAGAGGCAAAAAAGCAGACTTTCCCCCAGCTCTATGCTGGCAGATCTACAAGCTAGAGAATTATTAGTACCTGAGCCTGATCTCTGGTACATGAATATAAGTGCCTGTGCATGACCAAATGTATTTCATGTGGTGGTTGATAAGGCTGTTAGTTATATAAGATACCTAACAGGTGCAGCTAATGTCAAATATTTGTGCCTTATTTTTAACATCTTCCAAATATTTTAGCAGATTATGTGTTGTCCTTATAGGTGAAAAATCTTTAGAGAAGTAACAAGCTTTCTTTGCACAACCTTGAGTCCTCCTACCTGGTGTTAACTCGGGTCAATTCATGGACAGAGAGAGATACAGATAGTCTTTTTTGTTCTGATCCCAGATCCATTAGGGAGACGAACCTTAAGGATATAATGGAGGGCTTTTACTTTGTATATGGTTTCCCTTCTAGCAATTGTATTTGCCATTAAACACCAAGAAGCTTAAAAGTAAATATTTTTTCCTACCCTCATCTATATTTTCAGAAAAACTTAGGAGATTGTTACACATAGGGGTTTAATTTTAATTAAAATTGCATATTTCCTTGCACGATTTCTCTTTTTTCCCCAAATCTTTAGAGATGTCATAAGTGGTGATTCAAATACCCCACTCAATCTTTAGAGATGTCATAAGTGGTGATTCAAATACCCCACTCACCTACAGATCGAATGAAAATTATTAACATCAGTAATAACCCACCAAATTGCAAAGGACACTGAATATCATATAAATCCAGTCAGATTAGATCTATCAGGATTCAATGAGGAGATGTTTGGATTCGACCAGACCAAAACTGTGTTATTAAAATACATTTATTTTTATCACTAAAAAATGTTCATCCTATACACATATAAATTGTATGTAAATATGTTAGCTATGTATACTTCTATAATCTTTATATAAAACTCCCTACCTTTTTTAATGTGTGCCTACATTCCTTTTGCCCACTAAAGCTTCACAAAAGACTTTTCAAGGGGTAAGAAGAAATTATAAAGAATAGCAGGGATGTCTAAAGAACCCAGGAAGCACAGTACCCAATAAAGGTACCTTTTCCCTTACTCCATCTAGGTGAGAAAGAGGGAGAGAGAAGGGAGCTGTACATGTGATTATTCCATCAATTCTCTCTGCATCCAGAAAGCCAGTGACATGGTAGCCTTGCTATGCCAACAGTTTCTCCAAAACATCATCATTCATTAGGAAAACATAGCAGAAACCAGGTTTCATCTACTCACTGCCACCAAAACAAACGCTAAAAAAAGGAAAAAATAAACAAAAGAAAATGCTGAATAATCCAAAAAAGGTGAATGTTGCCAGCATTTGTTATGTAATATGTTTTTAACATCTTCCCCTGGGCCTATAACCATGACCCTGCTGGCCTGGTAACGAGAGAGTAAAAGAATTATCTTTTGTTTTTCCTCCTGCTTAAAATTTGATGTGAGCAATAGCTGGGGTATGGGGCGTATGGTGACTGGTTTACTCTGAGCAGATCTGGTTTCTACTAGCCAGCGGTTTGTGAAGTATGGTCTCAGCCCAGAGGCATCAGCATGCCCTGGGAACCTCTAGAAATGCAGGTCCTCGGGCTCTACCACAGCCCAACTGAACAGAAACGCTGAGGGTGGGACCCAGTAATCAAGTGACTCTGAATCACCATGCAGTTTGAGGGCCACTGTGTCGAGCCAAAGTCTCCCCACTGGCAGTGTCCTCACTGCTCTGAAGTGAGGCATTAGGTGTCCCTCAACTCTCTCAGAGTATTAGTTCTTTGTTCCCATCCCTCCTGCCTCCCTGCCCCACCTCCCACCTCCCCCAGGTGCCAAAAAGCTAACAGACTTTTTCCCATCCATCCATTGTGGCCAGAAGCAGGCAGTGGATGACTCTTTATGACTTCGTTGGGCACGTTCACATCTTCCTGGAAGACAGTGGGAGAGGCTGGCAAGGAGAGTGTTTAGAGAGTAGAGATTCTGTTCCCCCATGTTGAAAAGTATACAGGAAGGAGAAGGCTCATGGTGGTGGTGGGGAGAGGTAGAGCTCTTGGGCGGATGGCAGTGGGGAATCAGGGCCACCAAGACCCTGGGCCTGGCCTCAGCAGCTCGCTCTTACCCTTCCTGAGCCCTGGTTTGTTCACCCGCTCATCAGGGTTTGAGTGAGGTCTGCCTGAGGTGGGGAAGTGTGTGAAGGGGCTGGCTTCCTCTTAGGCCACTAATAAATAGTGGTTAACATTACACAAAGATGAGAAAGGCCAGTGGGGAGCACTGCTCCAGAAGGAAGCACCAGGAACGGCAGGAGATACATTGAGAAAGGTGCCTGTGGACATCAAGAAGCCTGATGTGCACCTGGTCACCTTGGGGTCTTGCTGCAATACTGATTCTCCCCGTCAGTCTGGAGAGGGGTCTGAGAGTCTGCATTTCTAACAAGTACCCAGTGACACCCGTGCTGCCAACCAAACTTTGAACAGCAAGGCCACTGCCTTGAACAAGGAAACATCAGAGAAATTCCCTGGAGACATTAGTTCACTGCTCTGTCCTAGGGCAGAGAGGAACTTCAAGTCCCAGCAGCTTGGTCAGAAGCAAGAGCAGATCCATAGGGTACTGCTTGCTGGGTTCTCCCACCCCCTTACTCCATCACTGCTGGCACTGTGCCCACCCCACACACAAACACACTCCAGAACATGCAGTGCTCTGAAAATGCCATCCCAGAGCCCCTGGAATTTATGTCACCTGGGCTAATATATTTGGGTGTTCAGAAGCAGAACCCAAATATTTTCCCTATCTAACTTTCTCTCTCTTTCTCACCTTCTCTGCAGCAACACTCTTATGAACTTGGTGGGGAGGGGGCAACATATTAAAGCAATGGCCAAGATCTGTATCTTTGCTCAAAGAAATAAGTGATATGGGCAGTGCCTGTGGCTCAGTGAGCAGGGTGCCGGCCCCATATACTGAGGGTGGAGGGTTCAAACCTGGCCCCGGCCAAACTGCAACAACAAAAAAGAAAATGGGCGTTGTTGCAGGCGCCTATAGTCCCAGCTACTCGGGAGGCTGAGGCAAGAGAATCGCCTAAGCCCAGGAGTTGGAGGTTGCTGTGACGCCATGGCACTCTACTGAGGGCAATAAAGTGAGACTCTGTCTCAAAAAAAAAAAAAAAGAAAGAAAGAAAGAAATGATATATAAACTGTACAGTTTGTTAATAAATGATGTGAAAACCAAAAACTCCACAGAATGCCAGTTCAGAAGAGATTTTCAGCTGCATAAGAGATATGATAAATAAAGCTTTCTTCAACTTCTTCACTAAAATCATTCTTTTTTCTCCTCCTTAGCCAGAAGACATTGGACAAGCCCCGATAGTAAATGCTCCAGAAGGCGGAAAGGTCGACTTGGAAGCCTTCAGCCATTTTACAAAAATCATCACACCAGCAATTACCAGAGTGGTGGATTTTGCCAAAAAGTTGCCTATGTTTTGTGAGGTGAGGAAATTGTTTTTCTTTCTGCATTATTTTTCTTTAGAGTTCCATCAGTTTCCAGGAATACTAGGTATTATTTATAATTTAATATTTATTAATAAGTGCTTAGCCACAGGAAAGCAATATCAATACAAAACAAAAGAGGGGGGCTCTATTTCATTTGTATTTCCCCACCATCTCCTCTATTCAGTCATTAGGCATTAGCTTGTCCACAGGAGGTCTCAAGATCCCATCCATCTCCCTGACTCCAAGCAGTGGAGTCTTTGATGTCCTAAGTTACCATGCCTGAGTTAGCCCACATTAAACCCAATTTTTATAACAGATCTGTGGGGTAGCTTTTAGTAACCCCCTTTTACAGATGGGGACAATTAAGATTAAAGAGATTAAGTTACCATATCCAAATATGGTCCTGCGGTTCAAACCTAGGTCCCACTACATATCACAGCAAAATGGCTGTGCTCACTTCCTAATCCTCAAGAATAAGTTAAACAGCCTTCACAGAGCAGGGCTCTCATATCTCTTTAAATTTTTCCTCCTTGCTTGTAAGCTCACTGTTTCTTGTCTCAACTTCAGAGCTGTCCCACCAGATCTCTGACTCTCAAGCTCAGCAGTTCTGAAGTCCGAGAATTCCAAGATCAAGGTGCAGACAGATTAGGGATCTGGTGAGGGCCTGCTTCCTGGTGCATGGACAGCTGTCTTCTCACTGTGTCCTTATATGGAGGGTGGAATAAAGGAGCTCTCTAGGATCATTGTTATAAGGGTGCGAGTCCCATTCATGAAAGCCCCACCCTTATGATCACATCACCTCCCAAAGGCCCCACCTCCAATATCATCACACTGGAGACTAGTTTGCAACATACGAATTTGGGTAGGTCTACAGTGCCCACAGCCTTGCGGGAGGAACAACTCATATTCCATTCCTAGAGAAGTCAACAAGTCCTGGGGAAAGAATTTTTACTTATATCTGTATTCAACATGGACTTTCCTTTGCCTTGGCCATCTTTTTTAAAGATTAACATTTATTAACATTTTGCAGGTTATTACAAAATGATTACAAAGATTTATACAGCATAATAAATGTAATGATTCATGGCACACCACCACAAGATAATACTGCTAACATTTTGGAGCCTATCTTAATCTCTTTTCAAATATTTGTGTATATACATACACATATATAAGATATATAAATGAAAATATATTAACATAATTTATACCAAATACAAACATATATATACACATATATATATATGAACTATGAAATATATATTAATATAATTTATGCCAGAATGTGCTTTCTACTTATGAAACTACTTTTTAAACTTTTCATTAAAAAGTGTACATATCATAAGGGTTCAGCTCAATAAATTTTACAAACTGAAGCCACCAACATGATCAACCACACGATAAAGAACACCACCTGTACCCATCACCCCGACCTTTTACCCTCAACAGTAGGACCATGTAAAATATCACCTATGTATTCTTTCAAAAAGAAATTGTAATGACCACATAGTATACCAAAGAATAAATCTACCATAATCTAAGTTATCTGTTTTTACTGGACCTGTAGTGTAGGTTATCTGTTTTTGTTGGACCGGTAGTACATTTCCAATTTTTCATTCATAAAAACATACTGCAATGTGTGTTCTGGTGATCATGGCCTGTTCTCATCACTAACCGTGTCCTGATGATAAAGCCTAGGCATGGAATTTAAGGGCCAGGGCACGCAGGCTTTTGATATTGTGTTGCCGATTGTCTATTGAGTTTCCTACTGCTACAACTTAAGCCAACCTGCCATTTGCCTGGTGCCCTTTGAATATTCACCAGAGATTTTTTCTTTTAATGTAAATCTCATGTAAACCAAGCACTGAAGAGATATTTCAGTTAAAGAAATAAAAAAAGAAGCCATCTCCACTTCTCACCACCAGGAAAAAAAGCACTGTGCACTTAGGTCCGTGGCGGGGGTGAGGAACTTTTCAGGCTTGGGCTGTGGCCAGGTTACCTATTCAAATTTGCCCCAGAAGTTGCAGCCTGCTTCATTGCCATGATTCCATCTCTCTTTCAACCCTGATATTGTGTGGTCTCCAAATTACTAAGGAGGAGGGCACTTTACAGCAGAGATATGTGTTTCTGGCCTCCTGGGACCCCTTATCTTTGTATACTCGCTTTAAAACCCAAAAGAGGGTAATGAACTACAGCCCCTGAACTACCTAGAGAATGGGTTGGAGATTTCAGGTGGTCTTGAGAGCTAAGGGTCTCTTGCCAGAGCCAGTTTGATGAATCTGCTGTTCATGGCACTTGCTCTGCTGAGATCCATGCCAGTCCACCGAACAAGGTTGCTGTGCCACCAGCAGCTTCTTAAGATCTAGAATTATCACTGGCAGAGTTGTCAGAACAACACATAAGAACCACTCCTAGAGGGCAGAGCCCTGTCATCTTTGCCAGTCAACCTGAGTGATGTTCTAAGGAAGAACCGAGGGAGTATCCCTGATCTCTGTCCGTCAGCCCCTTGTCTGAGCTGCTCACAGTGAAAGCACTTTGGCAGGTATATAAGAGATTATTTGATAATATGTTGAAACAAATCTCACCAGGATCCTACAAACATCTCTTAAAGGAAGAATTATCTGGCCCAGTTTTTAAACTACTGGTGACCCTTTGCCCATACTTATCCAGCTTTTACTCAAATTTGAACTAATCATCAACAGTTAGTAGACTATCAGAAGAAAATTTCTACTTCATCTATAACCAGACTTGGCTTCAAAAGTGGAGCCTGCCTGAGTTTGATCGGATTAGTAATTTCTCATTGCTGTTCTCGGCCAGTCATTTTCAGTTCAGGAATCAGCAACATGAGGATTACCTGGAACCTTGGGAGAAAGTCAAAACTCAGGGGAGGTTTAACAAGCCCCAGGAGATTCTGATGTGGCTGAAATGTAGATCAATTGCCCCAAGCATCAGAGCCAGCCTCTACCCTCTCCAGCCAGTTCCCCATCTCACCCGCAGAGGATTTATCCGAGCTTGAGTTTCCTATTTCCTATTGCACTCTTGGCCCAAGAATCCAAGGGTATAATTGAGGAGTACAAATCTGAACCTAAATGAAAGCAAATCACAGTGCTTTTTCAAAGAAAATGAGTGGAAAGGGAAATTTATGTGTGTGGATTTCAGAACCAAATATGCAATGACTTTTATTCTGTAGGAAAAGCTAAGCAGTTTGAAATTAGATGGTAGAGTGACTTGGCTGAGCTAGTGAAAAAATATGAAATACCCAGTGTTTTAAATGTAATTCAGTAGTGTTACTTTCACTTTTATATAATAACCTAAATTGGACTAGTTGAGTATTGCCAAGAGCATTTCCCAAAAGGAATCTGTAACTGCTTTAATCAAGAGACAGATATTATGTGTAATTTCCATATTCGTTGTTTATGGGAACTTAGTCATATCCATGGTACTTCAAAAAAGTATGTTCTCTTCTTTTTTGGCATTGGATTCTGACAGATCTAGCTTCAAATCCTAGCCTCACCCACAAAACATTCATGTGACAACCCTCCCCCCAACCAGCAGGTTACCGTCTCAGTGTCTGGGTTCCCACATCTGTAAGTAAAATTGGAATCAGAATATCTATGTTACTCTATTGCTGTGAAGATTAAATAAGGTGATACAGATGGATGTCGCCATGATGCCTAATTCATCAAGATACCCATTAACTGATAGCCTTGCAAATGGTTTTGATAATGGCTTTTAATTCAACATTCTCCCCCTCCAGAAAATAAAATTCTGGTTTTTGATTACTTTGCCAATTAGTGAAGTTCTCTTTTAAAATTTATTATTAGTGTTATCACATTATCACAAATCCTAATTAGCAGGGTAAATAAATGAGCTTAAAATGAGATTGCAACACCAGCGGAAAGATCCAGTGTGTTGAGTAATTCTGCTCTGTGGTACTGAGAAGAGCATCACCTTGGGAGCCAGCAGGTCTGAGTTCTGGTCTTCCTTCTCCCCGTAACTAAATCGCTGTTTTGTGGTAAAGCCTGTGTATTTGTGTGCCCCTGGGGTAACACACATCTGTTAGCCACCTTCTAGTTCTGTGCCTTATGAGAGGGTTAAAGAGTAAACATGCCTCAGAAAACACAGAGCCAAGTTGTGGGCTAATTGTTGGGGAACCAAGACAAAAAAATGGTAAATTTAACACAAACCCTGCTCTCAAGCAGTTAAAAGTTAAAGTTATGATACCTCCAAACTAAGGAGAGGGTGGGATTATTACAGTTTCACACATGACTGTACTACCAGTTGGAGATCTATAATTATCTGTTATAAAGAAATGCAGACTGCCGAAATTAAAGTTGGCGAAGATTACAACCAACATGGGGTTTGAAAAATGGTTGTTGAAAGCCTACAGCCAAATAGAGAAGGAAAAACTACGAGCTCAGAGGATGCAGGACTAGTGTTGATCCTGGAGGTGATTCCTGTTGCTTTCAAGACACGGCATGTGGCTCCTGACAGGATGTGTCCACTTGTTCTTTTCAGCTGCCATGTGAAGACCAGATAATCCTCCTCAAAGGCTGCTGCATGGAGATCATGTCCCTTCGCGCTGCTGTGCGCTATGACCCCGAAAGTGAGACTTTAACCTTGAATGGGGAGATGGCAGTGACACGGGGCCAGCTGAAGAATGGGGGTCTTGGGGTGGTGTCCGATGCCATCTTTGACCTGGGCATGTCTCTGTCTTCTTTCAACCTGGATGACACTGAAGTAGCCCTCCTCCAGGCCGTCCTGCTGATGTCGTCCGGTGAGTATGCCTATTCTCACTGCTGGGTACCCAAAAGCCTTGGCTTGTCTGGTGCTAATTCCAAACACTTGATGCGTTTTCAATCCCTCCTTTGGCTTCAGAAACATAGTTCTCGCTACATCAGCAAGAAATTGGACATTTTCCAATGGCCGGGGACTGCGGAAGGGGGTGTCAGGTGCCTGATGCTTTTTGCCGTGTCAAACAGTAATAGAAAAAAACCAAAAGAGCTATCTTAAAAGACTCCATGAAATGATTCACCTTCGGCTCATAATACCCAGCCCACTTCACAGCCTTTGGGGTATGCAAGACATGACGCATGAGTGGCCACACCATTCTGTGTTAAGTTGTGTGTGTGGAAATCATGTGTGAGAGTGAGAATTTGTTCCTGGCTCTGCTACAACCTCAGTTTCAGTTCTCTATTGCCGTATAGCACACCAACCTAAAACTCAGTGAATTAAAACATCCCAGATGGCTGGAGCTGGGGCTGAGACATCACATGCAGCTTCAGACCCATACACCCTTTCCTCTTGCAGGTTAGTTAGACATCTCAGTTGGCTATTGGGTTCCAATAGAGGGAGGATTCTAAGCAGAAGTTGCCGATCCGTTAAGTCCCAGTCTTAAGTCACACAGCATCGCTTCAGCCACATTGGGTTGGTCCAGTCAAGTCCAAGCACCAGCCCGGATGCAGCCGACCACCCCACCTGGGAGGAATAGCAAAGAACTGGCCCCCATCTTTAATCCACCATAGCTTATTATCCGAACTTCTAATTCCCATTGGTGAAAGGTAAATGATGCTACTGATGCTTTTTTCTTCAGGGATCGTCATAATAAACAAGACATATCAAACTCTTTCAGGAAAGCTAGTCTTTAAATAAAAGATGGCTTCAGAGTCACCTGTGCCTTTCCAGAGCACTCTAAGTCCAGCTGTACTGTAGTACTTTTCACTTTCACTATAACTACCTACCTGACTTAACCATATCTCCCTATGGACTATTTATATTTTAAGGACATAGATGTGCCTAATTGTATACCTCACACCTAAGCCAGTGTAGAATTAGTAGAATTCAGGATGTGTTTATTGGATAAATGGCTGAATAGATGGGTAACATATCAGTCACAAGTTCATTGAGAATCCTTTGTAGAGTGGATGCTTACTAGTTAACTCAGTAGAATTGTTTTTGTTTTTTAGCAGACTAAGAAATTTATCTGCTACAGGAAATTTAGATATGCCAGCCTTCTAAAAAAGAAATAATTCTTTATATTATGGAAAATTTCAAACACAAGTAGACAGAATAGCATAATGAACCCTCTTGCATACCATGGTAGACTGACTTTGCAAGGTGCCCCCCCACCCCTACTCCCACCTTCTGGTGTTCTCATCCCAGATAATTTCCTCACCTTCAGTGTCTACAGAACCTAGAGGCTTGTTTCTAACTTAGAGAATATGGAAAGTTCAATGTTAGCCCCATGTGACTGATTTACATAATCTAAGGGTCCGTATTGCTAGCAGGCCGGCTATAGAGATTATCCATGCTGGCTTCCTGGGGTAAGTGGCCATGTTGGGAAAGTTCATGTGACAGGGAACTTCAGATGGCCTCTAGAGCTGAGTGTGGTCTCCAGTGACAACCAGAAAGAAACCAGGACCCTCAGTCCTTCAGAATTATTCTCAAAAATATAAAACTTGTAGCTTACCTAAGGACGCCCTTTGCGCTTTGGGTGACCCCCTAGTTTCCCTGGGCTCTAGTGACCTTTAAAATAAAGAAATGGAACTACATAACTGGGACTCAAGGCAACTTTTTTAGCTGAGATTTCAGTGGTACAAAGACAGTGTTAAATAACATTGAAACACATAATGAGTCAGCAATTTCTTTCATCATTTTCTTCGTAGCTATATCTCTTCCCAAAGAAGGCAGAGAGCTTCAGGGTGGTGCTAGTCTGTCTTTAACACCTCTCTAAACTTGCTAACCTTCATTTTCAACAGAGTAGATCTCAGGCGTAATCTTTAGCAAGAACTTTTAGCTAAGATGTAACAAAGGTTTATGCCACACATCCATTTTTGTGGTTATATCCTATTTATAACAAATGGATTTTTAACACTAAATAATGTGATATTTCCTCTGTAGTGAGTCAGTTTAACAGATTCTTAAGTAAATAATCTAAAGTAGATAAAGGAAGTAGGTAGAGATGGCAAAATTTGGGAATGTAATGCCAAACACTGTCAAACCCAAATAATTCTTCCCAGTGCTCTCATTTTATGAGGTTGACACTGTCTGACAGCCACAGGACAACTTCATAACGTTTTGAAATCTTACCCATCCTGGTGATGTGGGCTCTTTTCATTAATACTGCCAGGACCAGAAAAGTATTTCAAGACATTGTACATTTGGCAAATGACAGCTACCTATAGGAGCCCTCAGGCCCCACTTTCACCTCTTTAGAACCCCGTCTTCACAACCCCATGTTTTAATTGGCATTTCAGGTTACATAATATCATAGACCTTTTTTTCAAAACCTTTTCCAAGAGCTGCTACTAAATTCCTTGGTCCTGTGGTGATAAGCAGAGAGCTAAAATGGAAATGATCTGAAAGGCATTTCTTTGAAAACTTTTATCTTAAGAAGTTAAGATCAGTCTTTGGTCTTTAAAATATTTATCTCGTCATAATCCTGTTGAGTACAATTTGAGCATCATCAAAATGTCAATTCATTCTCTATCCTTTATGTGACTACCTTGTCTTTATCTCTCATCAAAGGACAGAGTCTTGGTGCCATAAACCCCAGGTCTTTTTTTCCCTTTGGAGGCATACATCCAAAGCAACAGTATATTGATTCTCCATTTGGTTCAAAACTTAAAGTATCAGCGGTGCCTGTGGCTCAAATGGCTAAGGTGCCAGCCACATACACCTGAGCTGGTGGGTTCAAATCCAGCCCCCACCCTGCCAAACAACAATGATGGCTGCAACCAAACAATAGCTGGGCATTGTGGCGGGTGCCTGTAGTGCCAGCTACTTGGGAGGTGAAGGCAAGAGAATCGCTTGAGCCCAGGAGTTGGAGGTTGCTGTGAGCCGTGACACCACGGCACTGTACCCAGGGTGACAGCCTGAGGCTCTGTCTCAAAAAAAAAAAAAAAAAAAACTTAAAGGATCCTGTGGAGGACTCTTTTTGCACACTCAAAGAAAGGAGATAGGAGAAGAGAGGAGGAGTAAGCAGATCCACAGAGCAGCAGCATCAAATATGAAGGAAAACGCAAAATAAAAAAAGCCACAAATTGCCATTTGAGCCACATAGGGGATTCCAAAGGCCCAAATGGTTTGTTCAGAGGCAGACGGGTGGGTTGAGACATTAGCCCTGACCCTTCCCTGCTGAGGAAGCAGAACCCCATTCAGATTCCTGCCCATACAGTAACTGGACTCTCTCAATGTGAATTCATCTGCTCAGAACTACACAGAGCACACTGGAGGGAACCAAGCAGGGCGATGATGGGCCTCCTAGAGTGTTTTGAGGGATGCATTCAGGTTTTTAGATTATTTTTGTCACCCACATGTCTGCAGCCCAGCTTTTCCCCAGTCATCTAGTCTCATTCCTTTATTTATCACCTGTTGGAAACTGTCTCGAGCCCCTCCCAAATACCAGTGAAACCCAGTGGTCTGCCCAGGTCTTAGGAAGATTTCCAGGGCTTTCCAGGGTCGTAATCTCCTCTCACCCCAGCTCCTACTGTGGCCGTTCTCTTCCCTACAAAGGCTGTCTCTGGCATGGCCAACCTCCCCTTTTCTTTTCATTTTAATTTCCCAAATCATCACCGACACAAGGCTGCTGCCAGTAGCAATTTAAATAAGGTATAAAAGTGAAGGGACAGGGTGGCTCAGTGCAGCCAGACAAACAACTGAAAATTGGATGGTACTTCTTTATCTTCAAGGGAATTCCCTACTGTCCAGCATTCCTCTTCCACCTCCAGGCCTCCTGCAATGTGCCCACCGCCCCCTGCTCATCTGCCTTTCTAAGTATGGCCACGCTTTTCTTTGCATCCTTTTCAGGCAGCCAATACAAACTCAAAATCATCTCCCTCATTATACGGAGTATTTCAGCTATGTCAGGCTTTTCCTCTGTACCCCAGAAGGGAGGCATCGCCTTTCACACCCAAGGAGGTATTTGTCGAAACCAGAGACATTTTATCTAAACAAAGTACTAACACCCTTCATGGAAGTGACGCCACTGCCCTAGTCTCTTGGTCCCTGGTGCCCCAGAGCTCATGCTGCAACCACATTCATTCCCAGAAGGGAAAACTTCCTAGATCTGCCCCCACCTACCACCCAAGACCTTGAAGGCAATCCTTCCCCTTCCCACCTTTGAGCTAATACCCATCTTCTTTCTTCCCCTTCAGATCGCCCAGGGCTCGCCTGTGTTGAGAGAATAGAAAAATACCAAGATAGTTTCCTGCTGGCCTTTGAACACTATATCAATTACCGAAAACACCATGTAACACACTTTTGGCCAAAACTCCTGATGAAGGTGACAGACCTGCGGATGATCGGAGCCTGCCACGCCAGCCGCTTCCTGCACATGAAGGTGGAATGCCCCACGGAACTCTTCCCTCCTTTGTTCTTGGAAGTATTTGAGGATTAGACTGACTGGCTTCATTCTCATGATTCCTACCGCACTACTGGGTGTCATTTCATTCCATTGCCTCGCTCCTTTTTGTCTGTTTCTTTCTTTGTGTTGGGAGGGATTGTTTGGGGGTAAAGGGAGGTAATCCTTGGCATAGACACGGATGAAATTTTACCTTGAATGCGGGTCCTTGTAACTATTGCATTTTGTTCTCCAGTCTTTGATGTGAATGCTTTGAAGGTTTTACAGTTGTGGAGGTGGGGTAGGGGACGCTTATTAACTCACCAGCACCAAGCCATCACCAGCTGCCACCTGTCCCTGTTCAGAGACTCGAGCAAGCAAAATGGCGCTGCAGAAGAATAAAGAAGACGTAAACCCAAGATAATACAGTCATTCTGATCCAATCCTGATTTTTCCAGGGCTCAAGTTAGCAGAGCGCAGACAATCTTTGGGTAGATGTGGCTTTCAACATTTTACGGATGACACAAACAAATTTTCATTTCCCACCACTCCTTATTCTCTCCCAGCATTGTCATTTAGTGGGTACAGGAATATTTGCACCCTAAAAAAATAAGCTGCCCTCTCCTGATTTAATTCAAGTCATACATAGGCAGGGCTCAAAGATGTGCAGATATTTGACTGACTGAGGCCAACAGGCGAAATGATTTCCTTCAGGGAGCCCAAAGAAATTAGAAATCTTCACCAATATCAGTGAGTCCAGTTTCCAAAAATCCACATGTGTTACTTCACAGTAGGGAATCTTCTTTACCGTTTAGGCTGAAAGAACATTTTGCCATAGAAATCAAGCCTATTTACAAGGAGTCATCTCTTTTCAATGGCATCTGATCTGTCATCGCCCAAGCTCCTGAAGCTTTTTATCCTGGTTGCATCTTTGCTGAGCTGACAACAGATTTCCCTATGGATTAAATCTTCTAATCAAGGAGAGATAACAAGCTGAAATTGGAGTCTTGTTCTGGAGGAATTCTGAGGAGAGATGAGTGGCTACATTGTCAGTTGAATGCAATGCAGTGTTTGGAGAGCCTCTTCAGGGAGCCAAGGAGGCTTCCTTCTGGTCTTAGAGCTCAAGCTCTTTGCTGTACTCAAAAATGTCTCAGTCCCTTTTTTCCCTCCAACTTTAAAGCACTAAATAGTTTGACTCTCTCTAAACAAAAACTAGGCCCTGTCACTGACCCTCTGTCAATTTTACGGCACTACCCTGACAGAAACTCAAACCCCTGCAGACCATGTAACACAGTCAGTGACTTTCCTTCCCCACCCAGCCTGCCTCCCCATGACCTGCACTGGAGTAGCCTGTGCCCGAAAACAAACAGTGACACCTCATCACTTCAACATCAGAAAACGGGCAAAGAATGTATCCATGCAATTGAATGTATCTCATCCTTCACTGGCATCGTAGAGAGAAACTATTTCTTTGCCTGCCTTTTACTGCCTTATCCTGGAAATACTGGGGGAAATAAGCCATATCGGTGAAAATTAAGTCACTGTGAAAACCAAGTGGATTGTTTGTAAGTTTGGTAGAGCAGAACTGGCCCAGAAGCCAGGGTGCCTGAGTTCTCACTTTGGGCTCTGCCAACTGGTAGATCTGTGACCACAGGGCTTGGTTTTCTCACTTAGCGAATAAGTTATGATCTCTAAAATCCTGCTCACCCTTAAATTCAAATATTTTAATTTCAAATGGAAAAAAAATCTGATTCATTGGATGGCTTCTCTTATATTGGAATTTCCATTTTGATTGGGTCAAAAGTATAGTCCACTTAATTGAGGACTATATATTTGGTATTGACTCAAAATAAGAATTTAACTTAGTCAACTATTTAGAGGCCTTGGAAAAAAGAAGAGGAACAACATTGAAAATCTCAAGTACGATTGGAAATAATCAGGGGAGGGAGGAATTCAAGGTTCAGCACACAAAAGCAATTTTACTAGCTTCTGGGAAAAGGAAACAAGAACATTGCTCTGGCATTTGTTAATCAGAGAGAGGAAGTAAGTGAAGCGATTAGTTATAAACACGAGCGTGAAACTCATGGGCAGATCACCTGCTTTGACTTTATCTGCAGACAGGGGTTCTTTTTGGTTTTGTTTTGTCTAGGCTTGCTTTGTTAACATCTCAGTTCCTTCTGTTGACTCTCCTTGGAGAACTACTCTTTGAAAATTAAACATTTAGGCACCTCTGTGCCCCAGCAGAACTCTGAGAAGCTTTGCTCTCTAGGGCAAGTTTTCCAAAGGGAATGAGGAAGGCAAACACGTGGGTACTGGACAGGCTCGTAGATTCCCTGGGCATTTGGCCCTCTGGAGGAAGTTTCCTTGTTTTGTTTGAATATATACTGACATTCGTCAGCATACCAGACACCCAGTGTGCAATGTGAGCACAGAGCCTGACCTCAAGCTAAATCAGAATGCTTTGGGGGTTAACCAAGATTGGGAATTAGCCAGACAGTACAGTGTATCTACAGTAATCCAGCTAGCCCCAAGTAAAGGAAAGCTTGATCCTCGGCTCCTTAGTGATTGCCTTAAGCAGGCAAACCTCTGGTCTAGAAATCTTGTTGAAGGCTAAATACTTTATGCTGAGTAGGACAAGCCTTAGAGTACTTCAGGATGAAAGGAAAAGCAATAGGACTCAAAAGTTCATGACCCTAGTTGTCAAAGCCATTAAACTCATTCCTTCTGAAACTGACAGAGGTACTTAGTATATCTCAAGACTCCATCTCATAAAACTTGATCATAATAGATTTGCTCTGGATTTTTTTTAAACATTTTTTCATAAATTGTCCCAACTTTCAAGTCAAGTTGGGGACCAGATGGAAACACCCCTGGCATCCACCCCCACAGTGGGGAGACATCCCAGTACAGGGGAACACATCCGCTATGCTGGGATTCTTATTTATAAATCAGTTCACTTTTAGAGATGAGTGGTGTGTGTGTAGGTGTGAGTGGGTGTGTGTGTGTGCGTGCACGTGTGCTTGTAACTTTCAAGTGTACTTTGTTCTTCAATTTAGATGTGCAGTATTTCCAAAAATAGTGAAAAAAGTAAGACCCTTCCTTCTTTACGATTCTGCTTAAAACACCACGTGCCGCCTCAGAGCTTTTTCTAGTCAAATGAGCCTCAGTCCTCAGTGACGCTCTCGACGTGTTGATGCCTCAGCCCAGCAAAGCCCCCTCCCTCGTGCCCTGAGTGACGCCTCCTCGGTCCACAGTGCCATCATCGGGTGGACTGCCAGGCCCTGGCTCCGCACAGCAACGTCATTCTTGTTGCTCCTCTGTGAACAAGGGTACAAGCCTGGGCCCCTCCTCGACACTAAGCCCCCCACAGACTCAGCCTTCAAGGAACCGCTGAGCACCCTCAAAGCATGTCATTGTCAGCGATACCTTTTTCTCCTCCTGAACTCTAACCTATTCGTGTCATCTTGACCTTTTGCTGCATGAGTCATAAATGATGAAATCGGTCTTATGGTTTTTGAAATGTAGCCAGCATTTGTAAGGCTAAACCTTTTTCATGAACCGAATTTAAGTGAAAAATCAAGCCACAGTTCCTCTTCAAAAGGAGAGTAATGCTAGACATTTGAATCTCTTTGTCCTTTCCAACGGCTATGGCATCAGGTTCTAAAATAAGCTCGTAATTTTTCCTGTTATTTTAATAATATGGAAATATTAGCATAGTGTTTCTTTTGATAGTGATAGACTATAATCCATATTTAAATTTTATAGAGAAGAAATTTATTGTACTGTGATGTAGATATTTATTATCCAGGTAAGGATTTGCCCGGTGTGTATTTTTTACAATTGAAACATTTTACTTTAATCTTTAAAAAAGAAAAAAATGCATTAAACACACACATGCACATACATACACACACACACAAAATAAATAGGCAAGGGGGAAAAAAGGTTTGGCCTTATCACAGAATTTTTACTGTGCTGTATAAATGTTTGCAAATGCAAAAAGTCTGCATTTCTGGTGTGTTTCCACATTAATTAATGCCGCCTTCAAAAGCAATATTGTGCGGGTAAGATGCTGTTTGTGGCTTTCTGTTGCACAGTGAAAAGCTGACCCACCTTATGCACAAGACAATCAATATAAATCTGTCCTCCTCAGGATGCAAACAATACTCATGTAAATTACGGAGCACAACGCAAGACAAAAAAGACCCTTCACACATGTATTGTTGATGGAGAAATGACCAGGGCATGAACGAGCTGGCTCAACATTATGCCACTTCTCTCTTCTTTTGGTTCTCCCTTTTTACCTTGGCATTTCTAATTTGACCCTAGAGCCAAATTAGTTCTCCACGCTCATCTCAGAGAAAACACTTTATTTTCCCTAATGTTTTCATGCCCTGAGAATCAGAAAACTACCACAGAATAGGAAAAGATCTACAGTCATTAGAAGATTTGTGTTCTTCAAACAGTGTTAAGTGATATTGCTAGATGGTGATATTTTTTTCAGCCTAAAACTCTGTTGAAATCTGTGATCAAAAATGTTTTAAACTATCCAAAAAGAAAATTTGTATATTTGGGAAAAAATGGATTTTTACATAGCTTTTGTATGCAGATATTAAATTGTAATTATGAATATAGTGGGCGTAGATAAACTTATAAGCTTCAATTCTAAAAAAGGAAAAAAAAAGAAAAAGCTTATAACGAACATGCTTTTCTGTCTCTTTCTTCAAATATTATTGTTTCCTAAGTATAGACAAAGAGTCGCTCGCTCTTCTCACCTCAGCAGCTGCCGAAAGGATGGAAACCGGTTTTGGAAGCATGGACTGGAATAAGCAAGTTTATTTGGGAGGAAAATATGGAGGGAGGAGAGGAAAGAAGTAAAATGCTGATGGAGGGTTACTTCTTTGGACGAAGGGGTCACAGGTTTGGAAAGATGAGGAGAGAGTTAAGTGCAGCTCAAAAAACTATATTTATCTTCTTATCACAAAATGTTCCCGAATGTTATTAATGGGATTATAGTATACACAAGTGTATATCTCAATCCCCATTACCCTGAACACAAGTTAATTAGGATTCTTTCTGTGACAAGTGACAGAAAGTTAACTTAAACTAGCTTAAACATAAAGACGATTATTGACTTTAACATCTGGAAACCTGGGAATGTGACACCTGCAGATATGGCTGGATCTGGGTACTTTCTCGGCATTTGCAGGAAGCGCCTCTCTCCATCCTTTCCTCCAAGTAAATTTCATGTGCACATCGCCTTTGCAGTTTTTGGCCAGGGCTGGGTTTGAACCCATCACCTCCAGCATGTAGGGCCAGCGCCCTGCTCCTTTGAGCCACAGGCACCACCCTCTACATCGCCCTTCATGGTGGCCCCCAGTAGCTCCATGATCAGCTCCAAATATAGTGGAGAGTTTCATTCCCCCCACCCCAACCCACCAACAATTTCACGTCAGGTGCCCATTCCTGCACCAACCACTGTGGTGAAGAGGACAGATATGATAATTAACTTACCCCTCTGAAGTCCTAGAACTGCATGGAAGTGGAGGGGAGGAACAAATCAGCCTTACCTAAAGTATGGACTGAAAGTTAGGGCAGGGATGATTTCTCAAAGCAAATTCTAAATCTTGCTGCCAGAAGGAGTTGCAAAAGCAGCGAATGTCCACACCAAAAGTTAAGTCTGAAAGACCCCAGCGGTGGAGTCTCCATAACAGAGGAAGCTTAGCAGGATTTAGCCAGGACATGAATGAAACAAATACTTTTCTCAAAAAGTATTGGATCACATCCTCCCAGGCTCACAAAAAAGCCACTCCAGGTAAGATGGAGCTAGCATTTGTTATTTCCCTGGGCTGGGTCAGTCTAGAGTACTATTGTCTGAGTTCTTCTACTTTATATTTTCAAAGGACTGACTGTAGCTTTTATAGTTATCTTTTCTACATCATGTATCTCCCAGCAAGACCAGCCTGAGCAGGAGTGATTTGTGCCCACAAATCCTAATGGATGCAGAAATATGAAGAGCACGCCTCAGTTGACCCTGAGTCCTAGAAAGATGCTGTGTTCTTTGTTGCAGATATGAAGGGAAATTCACATTCTAAGAATTTTATAATTTTTCTAATGGGAATTTTTAGTCTTAAAGAGATCTTTTAAGATTTCTTTCCACAACCTAAAGTAAAACCAGATAGAGGGTTTTGTAACACTTATTTATCTCGAAAATTAAGAACCTGAGATCACCAAGTACCTGTGAAAGTACAGTTGAACACTTCAGAAAATTCGCCTCCACCTTCCCCAGCACTTTGACAAAATTCCCACTTAGCTACATGTACTCTAGCATCCAAGTAGCTGCCCCAAAGCTACTCGGTTCATGCCACCTCCCAGAGTTCTTCACCATCACACCGAAGTATGTAATGAAGGCCCACAGTGTAACAAACACCTATTCTATGCCAGAGATCAGACTAGAGAGACCCTCTTTAATTACCTCTGTTCTCCAAACAAACCTAAAAGTGTTAGTGTTCTCATTTGATAATGGGAAAATGGAAACTCAGTGTGCATAGGCGACTTGTCCAAGATCACACAGTTGAC